TGTGCTCTTCCGATCTCATTTTGATCAAAAATCGGTCATTTTTGGCCATTTTGGTGGGCTATAGGCCATGCATTTTGATCAAAAATCGGTCATTTTGGGCCATTTTGGTGGGCTATAGCCCATGCGTGAAAATAATATTAAAAAAATAATGAAAGAGCAAGAAATTGTGTGAAAAAACTGTTTATTTTGTAATGGATTTCAAGAAGTGTACAGGTTTGGATGAATTATTTCTTGTTGTTTTGAATGTATTCCCAAACATCGTTGACAGTCTGCGTAAGAGAAAAAAAAAAACAAAAAACGATCAGCTAGTATTCAGTGTTATTGGGTAAAAGGTTTTGGGAAGTTTCAATCAATCCTAGGTCCTTTTTCGTGTTAATGTGAACACAGGTATACCGTCAGTAACGGTCTAGATAAGTACAGATGTTTTGTTGTATTTCAGATGACCCACCAACCGCATAGGATTCATTGACAAAATTATTGTCATATCCCACCTCCCTAAATCATCACCCAACCGCAGACTCAAAAGATCACACAGATATAACTTAGCGTAACGTTATGCACCATAACGTATGAGATCATGRCGTGCGTAACACAACACACATAACGTTATAATGAATGACATATGAGAACGATAACGCAACATATGATAACGTATGAGATTGGGCGCCTCTCTGTGGTAGAGACAAGCGTTTCTCTGGTGGATTTAAACCACAGTACTACCTAGGGAGGAGGGGGACGAGGGGGGAGTTAACAGGGTCATGTACGGTACCTTTTCATCGGTTATCTTGTATGACGAACGCATGAAGTTCTTGAATTTCTCGATCTTCTTAGGTAGTGAAGGAGACTGCAATATAAACAACACAATTAAAAGAAGTGAAACAGCAGGCGAGATATTTACGTAAACGCAAAGAAGCTTCTACATTGGCTTCATCGTTGGTACATAGCTAACCACAAAAAGTTGACAACACTCATTTATTTTATGGCGTTTTGCACCATTTTTCTTGCGGAAAAATTAAAAAATTACGCAACGGTAAGATGGCAGGGACATACACTGACTAAGCAATCGAATACGAGGTTTCGGTCTTCCAGTGTTTATTATATGTACGGAGAAAAATTGACGTCGCTAAGAATTGGTGTTTTAGATTCCAGCAATGAAACTGCACCCTCTTCCCCTGACCGAGCTGTGTAAATGCACACCCTCCCCCTCCCCGACACCGAGCTGTGTAAATGCACCCCCTCCCCCTCCCCGACACCGAGCTGTGTAAATCCACCCCCTCCCCCTCACCGAGCTGTGTAAATCCACCCCCTCCCCCTCACCGAGCTGTGTAAATGCACCCCTCCCCCTCCCCGACACCGAGCTGTGTAAATCCACCGCCTCCCCCTCACCGAGTTTTGTACGTGCCCCCCTTCACCGTGCTGTACGTGTACGTATGTGGTTAATGATAATCGCATTATACTAAGAGCCTGTCGACGCTTGACAACTACCTATCAACCTCCCACGATTACAGACCAAGTTATAAAACACCATTTGACAACAATTAATCCTAATGTATAGCTATACGAGACTCGATTTCAATTCCTTTGAGAGATAGAGCTTCAAAAGCCAATAAAACATCAAAACTAAATTAATAAAACTAACGAGTAAACCAAGAGCTTGCATTGTAAGTTTTAGTTATCAATCTTCATATTCATTGTCAATCAGCACGCTAGAAATGGCTAAAGGGCGTAACATCAATCAAATGTAAGCTATTAAAAGAACCTTAGAATGTTGCCACAAACTCACAATATACTTTTCATTCAATTGCAATCATTAGTTTTTTTAAAAAAAGAAGTAAAATATTTGAGTAYAAATATAGAATTCTTCTAATAGTGTCTTCCTATTGATTGCTAATGAAGTGGGTCTTGGATATTTGACCTTCTTAATCGAGAGAATATTTTGTCAAGATCAATGTCATGGGTGAATGTGAAAAATGACATTAACGCGACATGTCTGAGCTTAGATAGGCGCGAGTTTTTTTACTTCCCATAGAGTTAAGTCTTAAAACCCATGAAACAAAATTTGACAATTAAAGTGTTAAAGTGAAATAGACACAAAAGAAAACAATGCAATTAGCGGGTTTTAAGATGTATTAGTGGAATACCTGTTTCATGTTGTTTTTTTTTTCACTCTGAAAAAATCTAGGAACCACAAACCTAAATAACTCGAAAACACCATGAAAAAAAGTGTTTATAACTAAGGATGCACAAAGGGAAAGTCTATAAGACATTCAATAGACTAGAATCAGCCAATCAATAGTGYCCTTTTTTTATCTCAAGATCTCTTAACAAACAATTGCAATTAGYTTGGATGACGAGCAGTCCAATCATTCCATTTAAATCGCTTTTTTTGCAAGACAAGACAAGTGCAYGTTGTACAAACGAACAGCGCCCAAGAACATCTAGAGTCAACGTTCTTGAAGCAAAATAAATCACGAGGAACAGCCGAARAGACAGCATGTTGAACGCTACTAACGCTACCTGGGTCGACGCGTCGTGGAAAGAGCCATTTGCTCTGAGAGTAGCTCGTCTTTTGGTTTTTAGCTGCGTRGTCTTATCATCGTTATTTGGTAACGGTCTAATTGTTAAGACTGTGYTATCCCTCCCAAGACGAAGAACTCCATTCACTTACAATCTAGTCATGAACCTTGCACTTGCTGAGCTGTTGAACACCGTTTTAATTCCATTTTTGATTTCATACGATGAAATGCGTTCATGGGTATTTGGACAGTTCTTCTGYCAGTTGATAAGTCCACTACAAAGCGTTGCCAGTACAGTCATAACAAGCAGTGTGGCGGCGATTGCAGCATGTCGTTGCTGTTTCTTGGTTTTCCCTCGAAAAGCARACAAGTTCCAAAGATACCGCTATGCTATGGGTCTTGCAGCTCTACTCTGGCTKCTTGCAATGTCGTTGCATTTCCCAAACTTTTTGTTCAATCAAAAAGTTGAAAGCCCTTTCTATAAGGACATGTACTGGTGTATCTGTCTTCTGCCTGGTGATAGTACGCGTTCATTTCCATCAGCTTCGTTCCAGGCTCTGATTCTTGTTCAAATTGCAATCAGTTTTCTTYTAAATTCCACTATCACTGTGACGTCCTATGGACTTGTCATATACAAAATACACAGTACTAGAGTGTACTTGAACAACAACCAGGATGACTACGACCAAAATGAAACTATTTGTACCGTAGAACTACCAACACAAACAAGAGAAAGCCAGACCATCGAAGAACAGAAAACCGAACGAACGAAGACAGACAAAGATCGTAAAGAAAACGGTGACAAGTCCACAATTCAGTCGATGGAAAACGACGTGTTTAAGATGTTTTACGCCATTGTACTGGTCTTCATTCTGTGCTATTTCCCTTATCAAATCGTTTTCCTGATGGAGTACTTCCAYGTTATTACATGGCARTGGAGGTACCTTACAGTCGTGCGAAAACTCCTTCTTGTCTTGACTTGCCTTCCAAGTGCTCTGCATCCTCTCTGCTACGGTCTCATGACAAACTTTTACTCAAAGGCCTTCAAGAAAATCATCCTTTGCCAGTGACAGTTAAATACGAAAAGCCTCTGATTTGCGTCCATGTTTAGCTCACAACGAAACCCGAATCTTTGACAAGTGAAAAATACGTCATAATAAAATTGACCGAATCACAGCCTTGTACAGAAAGCCTTTGTCTTTGAGTCTCAAGGTATGGTGGGAGAACTTGTTTAGAAGAAAGTCAAACCAGTATTTGAAAGTGAAATGTGCCATATGCTCCAAGTACAACTAGGACTGACATTTGTCTTGAAGAATCAGTTCATCAGGAATTGTGATTCRATTAATAACGCATGGCATTTTATAATAAATTAAGGCTTAAATATGAGAGATGCCCAAGGCACTGGTGATAGCATTTCTTAGATAAGATTTGATATGGCTAGATAAATTGACGAATGGGTGGATTTATAGACATTAATTAATGAAAGAACTTCTAGAAAACTCGATGTAATCACGCGACGCAATTTACTCAGAGTACATGYAAATAGCCTTTTTAAAACATAACGATCAAAAACTGTAAAAATATATCAACAATACGAAACTTGTGAATTAAAAAAAAATTGTTTGATCGAAAGTACTTCCCTTTTAATACAGATCTATTTTTAATACGTGGCGGTGACCGAAATCACGTGACCAAGATCACGTACGTATTTGAGATCAGTCAAGCCTTGTTTGGACAAGAACATTYGAAAAAAAACTGCGTCATTCAGGCTCAAAACTGCGTGAAACATMCTTGAAAAAATAACGGGCGCAAGTTCAAGAAACGTGCATGATTACCAGCATTCCACTTGTATATAGTAACTAAATCAACCATAATAACCTTACGACTCCGTAAAAACCAAATAATCCGCTTTTTAAGGAAACAGCTTCAAGTCAAAACAAACAAAGGCTTGAAACGTTTACCGGTATTACGAAATTTTAATAAAAGAGCGCCAAAAATGACATAGCGACATCAGCATTTTTTTGGCACGTCCATTGCCACTTGACRTTTGAGGCCCACGAGTGAGCTGATTGATCAACTCTTCTCAGCACCAGATCAAGTGTTCGATTGATAGATTTGCTGTCCAAGTGAATGACAACACTATGCAGTAGTTCAAGACGTGCAATTCTTACGAAGTAAATACAGAGTAAAAATGCTATGATACGAATCGCTAATGCACYAGTCTAGTCTAATCAAGTCTTTTTAATTCTATTTTTACAGATGACTAGGTTTATATCTAACTACAAGATGGACAGCTAAAAATAGGGCTCTTAAAATAGCTTACCTTAAGTAAAGCTTTCTTTATCGAGTCTAGGTCCTGAATTAAACCAAAATATGTTACTGGGTGATGACACACAGGGGCAAAACACAGTAGGACATAACTCCAGAGGATGGCACGAAAATAAACGAATAGAGATGAATGGATGGATGTGATAGAATGGGAATTGGTTGAATGAATGGTTGATATGAATAAAATAGAAAAGAGAGAAAACTGGATATGAGGAAACAAGGAGTAGAAATAATGTAGCTAGGAAATGAAAATGGTGAAATGGAGGAGAGGGAAAAAGATGGAAATGAAAGAAATATGAGAAGTAGAAAAGGAATAAAAGAAGGAAAGTAAAAACTAGGAAAAGTAGTTCATTTAGGCAAACAAATAAAAACAAATCTAAGAGCAATTGCCAGTACCTTGGGTTTGTCAGGTTGAGGTGTTTTCTGTTGTGACTTTGAAGGTGTCTTTTTATCTTCTTTCTGACTAGAAATACCCTACAAGCATTGTGTGTTTATTAGTGTCATGACCAAGAAAAAYACATCTAAAGCAGCTGAGAATTGGAAAGATCAATTATTAAAGTGAAAAAACATCAAAAAGTATTTCACATTTTCAAGGTGTTAATTAATCAATAATATAAAACCCCTGTAAGAGCATAGTTCACGTTTTCCTGGTAATGTCCCAGACAGGTAAGTCCAGGCAAATATTGGCAGTAATTAATAGTAAATTAGTAATAATAATTATAATTATTATTATTTATCATTACAAGGGCAAACACTTACATTGGTCATGGACTTTTTGGGAGTATCCTATAAATAAATCAGTATGCGGATAAGTACTGTTCCCATATTTAAAATAATGGATTACATCTTCCAATATGCAGAAATTATATCAGAAATTATGGGATATCATCATCATCATAACTCTTCGCGCCAGTTGGAGCATAAGTCCTTCATCCCCTCCTCCCATCCATCTCTATCCCTTGCATATGGGGATGGGATATCATCGCCAGTATTTTTTTCAGAAAGTACTAGTGCTAGTCATATTCAAAAAAATATCAGCGACGACATCCAACAATTTCTGACATATTTTTATATATACTTGAAATATGAGCAAAAAAGATCATAATTTCTGCATATTGCTCTATATATACAATTATCAGTATGATGTAACTACATGAAATAATTACTATTTATATATCAATTATATATATATTTTCTTTATAACAAAAAATGGACACTTGGCAAATGAGATTATTTATACTTGACTTTACTTACAAGTGTTAGATCTATGTAATTGAGCTACCTTTTTCCCAGTAAGATTTTTAGTAACCTCATCACTTTCTTCCTCATCTGAATCGCTCTCTTCCTCATCTTTGCTGTCCTCATCTTCATCGGAGTCATCRTCATCRTCATCATCTTCATACTCCATATCATCCTCATCATCMTCCTCGTCATCCTCTTCGTTTTCCCCCTTTTCCTGTTCCAAGAAAAAGAAATGTAATTATAAATAGGTTCAAATAGTCTAATGTATATTTTAGCATATTCTTTCAAAATAATGACCTTTTCTTTGATATACAATAAAACATAATAGAAGATAAAACACAATACCCAACCTTTATAACATCTTTTTTTGCTTTAACTGGTTTGGCAGATTCTTCTTCCTCCTCCTCTTCCTCGTCGTCTGATGACTCTTCTTCMTCATCATCATCCTCTTCGTCATCATCTTTTAATAATTACATTATAACATTATTACTATGTCAGCAATGGAAACTAAACAAMAGCAAAACTGTACCTTTCTTAGTTTTTGCCATCTTTTTYGGTGGACCACTGGGAGTGCTGGCTGGAAGAGGTCGTTTCTATAATAAAATGCAGCCAATTAAAGTGTCTCACCTACTATTAGTGAATGGTTGACATAAAACTAGAACGCTAATAATTAGATAATATTACATGATAAGGAAAACTTACACTTTTTACAGCTGCTTTGCTGTCTACAAGTTGTGGAGCTAAGAATYAATAATGTAAAACATAATCACTTTAATAAGAAAAAAATTGAATCAAAGTTTCAGAATACTAGAAGAAACCTTTGCCTACCTTCTTCATCATCTGATGAYTCTTCAGAAGAGTCTAATTCATCTTCTGCTAAACCTGCAAAGATTCAAATGATGATATTGTTAAACCAAGCAAAATTTGTGACWCACTTTCTGTTTACTTACTTTGTATATGATTTCCAGAAAGATARACTGGACCTGGTCCTAGAATTGATACAAATGATAACACTATTACTTGATCTCATATGAGGATAAAAACCAGTAAGCCAACATACACTTAGTACAACAAACAAAAACAAACAGCAAAAAGTTGAATTGTAATTGTATTTTCTTTTCCTGGTTATCAAACAATAGACCTAATCGGCTAACACGTTGCTATAAATGTTTCTACCAAATTCAAACCACAAAGGAGTAAGTTTCATTGTTCGTTGTATTCTCTTTTCACAGTTGAATTCTTAGAAACAAAAGCTCTTTTTCCCACTGGATTTGAATTGGGTGTTAACGTGCAACGTGTTAGCTGATTAGGTCTAATGAATACTGGGTAGTATAAAAAGCTACGTGCTACCTAGGCACCACAGCGACGAAGATAAAACACAATCTATAAAACAATCAGATCAAGTCATGTGTGATATTGGTTTACCTTCGATAAGTTTGAAAGTGGCTGGAGGGTTAAAGCTGAGATTGAGGGGACACTGAAAACAAGTAAAAAGCATGATAACATGAGAAAATGCACTCAGACATGTCGGATTAAAAATCATATAGAGTCATTTTCATCCATCTGTGAAACATTTACTACTAGTCAGTGTTTAATAGTAACTATTGGGGTGTAGTAGGCTACCAAAAGGCAAAATCAAAACCATGTTTGCCTAATTAGTTTGTTGCATGTCGTAAGTTAAACTATTGGGAGCTAACAGGGGTAAATAGTATCTAATCTGAGTACAATTCCTATTTCACAGACGAATGAAAATGATTCTAAGACCATGTATAATATTCATTGTAATTGATTTATTGCTCTTTGACTTTATAGTTTTAGTTAATACTATACCATTTCAGTTGATCCTTGCTGTAAGCACACGATAACATTTTTCATTTCATCTCCCTTGTAGTCATGAGCTGTAACCTCAACGAGACAACGTCCACTTGACTTAGCTCCCAGACAAGCCTAYATATTCAAATATATTAAACTATTATACGAGAAAAATTGAGCGTRTGCTGTTTGAAACATGCTATTTGGCCATCACAATGTTTTTAAACATTTTAGCGATGATTTCAAATCACATTTCTATATTAAAGTGGTACTGTAGAGTCTAAAAAGGCTCCAGCCAGCCTTGTCGAGCAATCACATTAATAGTTGTGGATGATTTTTTAAAATGATCTTGTCTTGGATTTGTTTACCTGACTCAATATCAATTTATGCTCAACTTCTGATAACTCGCTATCCTCAAACTCGGGATTGAATTTTACTTCATTGGATCCTTTCTTAAGCTCACAGCCTACAGTGAACAACACAGAAATGGATAAATAAACAATATTTGAGGAGTTATTGCTGTTCAATCTCGCTTACCCCAGAAATCTTCCTTCTCGAGAGTCGCCATTTTGTGTCAAGAGGACGAACGATTGCTGCACGTGCTCCTTACTAGGCCCTACTCGCAAAGATGGACACAGGGATACCAACAAAATAATGGAGTCATATTTCTTCGAGGATAAAATTATACTTTTACGTTTATTTGTACTTCAAGCAGAATACGACTAACTTATATTGGTGTTGATATTCCCCATTCGATCAATTTCAGGTCAAAGACTCGTGTGCACCCGAGAACCTTATTGCGCGCTTTTCTCACATACGGAAAATCGCGCGATCTTGGAGAATATAGCTTTAATAATTCGTTACCATCTTGCTCTGTTTCAAGTTTTCGCGGATATGTTTTTGGWGATTGCGATAATTGCGTGCTAGAGGAATAGATTTGAACCCATTAGATATCAACTTTCAAAGATCTCCAAAGCAAACGACCGCAAAGGATATCGGATGCAAAGGCGGCTTTTAATAAAACTTCTGGCATGCCTTGAGCATCATGCTTTGCGACAGTTTATTGTGAAAAAGGGGAAGAGTGGATTTATTCTGAAGTTATTGAATAAATATTTCATTTTCATAGAAATAATTTATTGTAATTTTAAGCTTTTATTTACAAATATTTTGTACTAAAGTCTTTGTGAACTTTACTCCATATATTAATTTCAACTTGTGAATTGTACTCGAGAGTGGATGGACTCACAACTCGCTTTCCGCGTACCATGGGTACTATCAAACTCATTTATAACTTGTATTATCTTTTTAGAGTGACAACAGTTTTTTTGTAATGTCTGTTGGACGCAATCAAAATTCGAAAAAGTTTTGATTTGGGTTTGCTGTGGGGCGAGGGGCACAGGAAGCCCGGTTCATAGACCCATCTTGATCTTTTTATCAATGTCTTTTCCATCAAACATTGACATATCTAAGCCATCCAATATGGAGTTGACATCAGTATCCTTTGTTACTGTGTATGTAGCGCTTCGACCTGCCAAGGCAAAACATCCATTAGGCTTGGTTTAAAATGCGCATGCTCATGTTGCAATATATATATAACAATGTCCCACATGGTAGACTGTTGGCTTACTTACCTCCTGTCCATTCTGATACAGAGAAATTGTGAATACCTATTGAAAAAAATACATCCATTTAGCGGTTCGTTCACAACAAGAAAACAACAACAACGACAAACAAACAAACAAAAAAGTCCACATTATAAAAATGAAGCTAAAATAACATGACTGAGCAAGAAACCTTTGCATTGGTTGTGGAAAGTTTTGATTTGAAGAGAATGTTTCTTTCTCAACATTTCATAAGCTTCTCTGAAAGATTTATAAAAGTGCTCCAAATCCTGTCGATACTGGGCTTTAGTCATCTCATAACGCTGTTGGGCTGGAAGTTTAGCCCAACTAGGCCATGAACCCTCAACATCTTTTTCTGAAAATGAAAGCAACTTGTGAATTGGGTAGGACTGACAGAAGGATAGGACTGCAAGGAAGAGAAGAAGAAAATTGGGAGGAAAAAGGATGAGAGAGAAAAGGATGAAAGGGAAAAGGATGAAAGGGAAAAGGATGAAAGGGAAAAGGATGAAAGGGAAAAGGATGAAAGGGAAAGGATGAAAGGGAAAAGGATGAGAGGGAAAAGGATGAAAGGGAAAAGGATGAAAGGGAAAAGGATGAAAGGTAGGACAAACAAAGGAGTAAATGAGTAATCAAAGAAAAAGAAAGGAAGCAAGGAAGTGAGGAGAGAAAGTGGATGGATGGAATGAGAAACTTAGTGAAAGAGCAAGACGAATGAAGGGAAAAACAGCACGCTGAGGTCGGATCAAATATGGCTAAATTCACTGAGATGAAATAGAAAAGAGAAGTCGTACCACAATTCTTCTTKTTCTCCTTTTTTCTCTTCATTTTCCATTTTCGGTGGTATTCCCAGATTAAACACAAACCAACCAGCACGGCCAGAGAACCACCGAGTATCTTGGCTGTCAGTCGAAACAGTTCCGATTCTGCTGTTAGTAAATCGCTCGATCGTTTCACGGCTGGTGGGACTTTACTTGCCTACAAAATAAGAATAATGTAGAATTAATGTTTTATCGCATTTGCTGCTGGTATTTCCTTCCATCTTCTGTTGCAGCTACCAGTACATTTTTGAGGAATARAAGACGAACATTATATAATTCCTTATTATATAATTCCTTACCTTAATTGGWGCCACATTTTTCTGTACGACTCGACTAATCTCACTGCTCTCAACCTTAACGTAGTGCCTTATACATTGACCTAACTTCATAGCGTTACCACTAAGCACAACGCCATACGTAGAGTCAAAACCCGTCTTAATAATATCGCGAACACGCAGCCATTTCTTATCAAACAAATCCTTCTGACTTGCGGTAGCGTAGGAGTCWAGTARAGCAGCGTGAACATTCTCGTTYAAGAGATCGTTGTATATTTCAGTAATGTTACCATACATGCGACCTTTGGGAAAGAARTGAAATGTGAATGAAAAACAAATAGTGAAAAAATGGTAATGAAAACAATTTGTAACTTTAAAAGTATTGTTACATAAACGTATTATTTCTTGCGTAAACGTACTGTTTATCCACCTGCTCTTACGGACACCTCCAACTTATCTAGGAAGATTTATCGATTTGAATCGTTATAAGCGTCTAACTGGAAATRGAGTTACGACACTCACCGACTTTTAAGTTAGCATTTCTTCGAACGCCAAGCTTGTACTCCGACGAATTATTAATGGCTGCGACCTGTTATCGGTAGAAATAAAGGTTTTTGCACTTGTTTATTTTTGATATAACCAATCGTTCTTTCATTCATTCRATTCCCATTCATTTCCATTATCCTACTGTMTCATTTATTAAGCTTTCATTCATTCAATAATTCACTTTCTTATTTACTTATCCATCCTTCCATTCACCTTGTTTTATTGTCTCATTTATTTATTTTGATTTGTATTCATTCGATCTTATTCATCCATTTTCAATCATTTCTTCACTTGATCGTGTAGATTCAAATCAATGATACCTTTGTTCCATAAAGTGTTAACTGTGTCCGGAATACCATGCTCATCAGTGATGCGGTTATACTGCTGGTCAATACTGCTATAGTAGCGATACCCATCCATATCCATACAACGCTGAATAAGCGAGCTGCTATAGACTTAGGGATACGATCACCATAGCTACATAACATACAATAACATTGTTACAGTAGTACATTACACACAATAACATTGTTACAGTAGTACATTACATACATAACAACATGCACAATCACAGTACTCATAAAAAGATAATATTGTCTCCTTCATGGATCACTGCGCCATCTTGAAAAGTAGCCGTGCCTTCGAAGCGAGACATCCATTGAGCGTGCAATAATAGATACCTGTGAATAATTATCTGTAGGTGTGAGGGTTTCTATCACTGCACGCTCAACGGTTGTCTCGCTTCGATACAAAGGCACGCCTATTTTTTAAGAAGGCGCTGGGAACCGTAATGAAGACTACTGAACCTCAAAACCCTGCAAATTTCAGACATCGAGATATGTCATTAAATCTATTTTCTATGAGGATCACATTGAACAAATTCACTCAGTACATGGATATTAAAAAATCAAATGAGAAAAACTTGATGTTGTGTATCAACACTATTAGTCTCTAAGAATGAAGCAAAAAAACGTTTCGAGGTAGAAACTTACCCAACGGTTGTCATGGTGATATAGGACCACCAAAACCCTTCCCATGATCCTGCGAGGAACGAATTTGGGAAGTGATCTGGATTGAAACGCACATCCTATAGAAATGATTACGCAATCTATCAATGTATACTAATAATTAATATCAATTGATATTAGAGTAAATAT